TGGCGGCAGGCTAGGGGCTGCAGTCCCGGGAGGGTGGGGGGTGCGGGCGGCACCCTGGGCGGGAGGGAGGCTGTGCCACACTTGCTGACTCAAAACTGGGAATTACTTCCCAAATTACCAAAGCTTTTGCTTTTAAAACGGGCAGGAATGGGGAGAGAGTGGCAGCTGGGTGCTTGGTAGCTCTTGCAGAAATATGGTGGAGGCATCCTGTCAATCACAGGTATCCTATAGTGCCTGGGCAGGATTACCTTTGTGTTAACAGCACAGACCAAACGTTGATCAGAACACGCAGGAATGAGTGGCAGTCTTGCCGTAACTTACAGGGCTGTGCTTTGGGTTAGAAGGCATCATTACCTGCCAGCGTCCTGAGCGTTAGTGCCTGACTGTAAGGCTGACTGAATTTCTTACGTTTCTGTTACAGATGGTGGCTCCCTAGATGTGGCTTGGCAACCAGAGTGTGATCATGGCAGCCGAGGCTTATAGCCCCTCTGAAGGGGGCCTTCTGCCCTCATCAGTAGGCTTAGACCATGCTCACTTGAATAACTCTGATAAGCTAAGTAGATCCTACCCCTGGGCCAGCAAGAACAGGAAAAGTCAGCTCTTTGAACTCTGCCGGCGTAGAGCATCTCTGTCTGGTGAGTGCAGTATTTTGAGATTGAGTTCACGTGTCGTTGGTGAAGTTGATGTGTTTCAGATGGTTTCAGATCCTCCTCCTCCCCTCTCCCAAACCTAGAGGCAATGGCAATAAGTAGCTGCCAGAAAGCGCTTGTTCAATAAGCATCTGAGCCATTAATTACTGCAGGCTGGGAGAGTTTACAGGGGATGCATTGGTGAATAGGTGCTCTGCGCTTGTACTTGTCCCTGGGCAAGCTTTATTGGCTGCCATTGGACACCCTGCCACCTTGTATTATTATCTAAAACACGAAAAATTTCCAAATGAGGAGAAAGATGTTGTTATACTGGATTCTGTTAGGAGGGGAAGAACTTTGCAGTTTACAATGCGTCCAGATACGGGATCTCCCTGTTTCATCGTGATGAGCATATTCATACTGTATGCAGTGCATAAACACAGAGATGTCCTTGTGGTGAGTTGTTCATAATGCTTCTTCCAATACTGCTAAGCCTTCAGAGCTGCTTACTGTTTTGGGCGTGGAGCAATGGCATTTGGCTGATGATGCCACTTCCCAGGGAAATGTTTTTTACAGGCAGAACTTTTGAAAATTTTAGTTGGATTGGCATTGTGTAACATAAAACATTGGTGTGGGCGCAGGTATTTTAAGTGTCACGTCTTGTGAACAGTTAATTAACTGTCTTCTGATGAATGCAGTATTTAATAAGGGCTTGAACACTTACTGTAATTATATTTAATAACAGTTTCAATTTTAACTTGAGAGATTTCGAAACCTTTTAAACTTTGTTAAGTGAAAAATAAAAGTTAACTAGTCTGGTTGAATCTTATGGATGTTGGCAATTTTTTTCTAGTCTAGAGACTGAGCTTCCGGTGGCTGTGATTCAGAAAGATACGTTTATTAGAATTGTTTCTCTTTTCTTTAGTTTCATTGATTTTATTTTCTTGTAATTTCTTAAAAAAATCTAGAAGCATATATTTTGGGATTACTTGACAGTTGCTTCAGCTGCCAACTGATTTTTTTTTTATTCATTCCTCTAATACTCCTGTCGTAGACTGTTACAGCTACATAGCTGATCTTTATCTTCTCACAGGGGAGAAATGGAGCTCTTACTGTTTGTCTTCACTGGCAGCTCGTAACATTTGTACCAGCAAAATTGGTAACTTGTGGGCTCAGTGGAATTCTGCCTCTCTCTCCACTTCCATTGGAAGTTCTGCTTCTTGCTCCTTTTTGCATGCCCTCGCTGTGGAGGAATCCAGCCAGCACCTCCCAACTGCTGCACGCAATCCAAACAAAGCTATCTTCACTGTGGATGTCAACACAACAGAGGTATTTGCGGTAGCAACTGCTAAACTAAGCAGGCTGTATCTGGTATAGGTTGTATGACATCAGACAGGCTAAAATGCCTGTTATTCTTACGTGTATCTGCAGGCAATCAGAGCATCATGAAGGCATTTTATAGTCTGCTCAAGGTTGGTAGTCTTCTGAAGGCTGACAACGCGTTTATTTCCATTGCAGGTTGTAGTTAGCAAAATGTACAAGACAATATCAGAAGCACAGATGTCTTGAGTCTTTTTTCAAACAGAAAAAGGGAATAAAGAAGAATGCAGCTGTGATGTGGCATGAGGGAAGAAAGGAAAAGCAGAATGTGCTTTAAGCCTTCTGTCTGTTTAGTGTCAACCCTGGGATGGGTTTGTGGTGGCACGAGGTCTCTTTATCTGACCCAGTAAATATGCCTTTTGCATTGCAAGGGAGAGAATTTCTCTGTTTCTGTCCTGAGAGTAAACATTAATATAAAATTGAGTACTGAAAACTTTAAAGAGCTGTGCCATTTCTAGCTTGAACTGACAGTTCGAGCTTACCTATCTTAAAGGCATTTAATCCTGACTTGGTCTGTAACGCAGGCTTAAGTATGTCAATGACTGGTGTGATTACTGCATGCCTTCAGGTGTGGATAAAATTTTGTGGTCTGTCCAGGCTTTGCCTGCAAATACAGCTTTGTAGTTTTGCCTCCGTGGATGTAATTATTTAAAGAACACAAGAGGCTGGAGTGGGTAGGCAGTTAAAAGAAAGCAGGAAACCTAAAAAGAAAGCAATATCTCAAACCTTCTTAACCAAGAAGACGCGTGGGCAAGGAATGTCCTAGAATAAGAAGCTTTAGTGAACTGTTTTTGAAGATTTCAGAATTTAAAAGAACCATTCCATTTCCACCAAGAGGAAGGGATATTATAAGACATTAAAGCAACAACCTGAGGAGGTGATGATCTACTAACAAAACTTACAGCTTTTATTCTTTGTTTTGTTTTGGTGTTTTGTTTTTTTTTTTCCCCGCTTTTCTAGATCCTCATGGCTAATGACAAAGCCTGCAAGCTGCTTGGGTGCAGTGGTCAGGAACTCATTGGTCAAAAGCTATCCCGCTTGATATCCAAATCCAGTCAAGAGGTATGGGAAGCTGTGGGTGAGGAGTACATAGAAACTGATGAATGTTCATCGGTGGTTTCAGGAACTGTGGTACGTAAAATGTTCAAGCAAATATTCCTCACCATATACAGTGTTTTTGTTGGCTTTGGTTTGGGGGTTGGGGGTGTGTGTGTGACATTTTCAATATAATTTCCTGATATATTTAACTTTGTGGGCATGTGGCAATTATGTCATTTGTAGGACTGTTTGGTTTAAAAGTTTGCAGATGTGGGAATTCAAAGGGCAAAATATGGTTTGGGAGGCACCCATGAGAGCCTTGCAGCTGCCAACATGTATAGTCATGATGACTTGACCAAATCAGAGCTTAAAGGACGTTAGATTAAAAAAAAAAAAAAAAAAAAAATCAATATAATTGCTTAACATGGAAAAACCTATTATGGAAAAGTTCCCGATGTCTGGTCTTTTAAAATATTTTTAAAATTATCTTAAATTGCATTGTGCATATTATAAAGTTACAAGTCAGTCAAATACTGTGAAATGTCACGCCAAAACTCCCTAGTTGGTGCAAAAGAATGGAACTGGTATTTTGCCTATAGTGGGGTTGTTTATAAGAGAACTGTGTGAGAAATGTCTCCAAATTATTTTCTTTTGCTGCTGTTGTGAGCTGTCACTAGAAAATACGTGGAAAATGAGCTCATATTCTTCCCGGTGTGTTATTTTTGTACTGAAATTGTCAGTATCTCAGAGCTTGATCTTCCTGAACCCTCAATTGGATACGGGGAAAAAAAAAACCTGTTTGATTTGGTGAAACCCAGAATTAAAATTAAATGTCTGATAAAGGCACCAATTCTAAGCTACATCCATTCCAAGTACTTTATAGGAGTCACTGTGTAATTCATAAACCCATTCTGTCAAGATCATGTGAAAATGATAAAAGGCTTGATATGAACACTGCAGGTTATAAGATAAATAAAAATTTTTCTGATTTGAGAAGAATCTCCTCCCATAAGAAATTAAACTGCTATTTTTGCAGCTTAAAGTGAGAACTATGTTACTAATGTGGAGTATTCATGGGACATCTCTTAAATAAGGCATGTCTGAAAGGCACTTCTCTTGAATGCAAGGTATTAGATTGGCACATTTATTATGCTGAAGGAAATGCCTTTAGTCTTCCTAAGGCAGGGAAAGAAGATACAAAAGTGGCAATGACATTTTGTGTATGATCAGTTAATTATTTGCAAACCTTTTCATCTCTGTATTAAAACTGTTTCTTCCAATAAAAAACTAGTAAGTAGTCAAGAAACAATGTTTTTCTAACAATGATGGGGAGATATATTGGCTCAATATCTTATTCTTGTTTGAAATTCTTGCTAAGTGACCACAGTCTTAGTAAATTATGACTACATCTCTGAATCCTACGGAAAGGTGGATGTTACAGGCCGTCTGAAAGAGAAGATCCCTGTCTCGGTCTGGCTGAGACGAATAGGAAGCAAGAACAACCAGTGTTGTGTGGTTGTGCTGGAACCAGTGGAAAGACTTTCAGCTTCTGTTTCCTTCAGGGTTGATGTGAGTGTTTCCCTAACGATCAAATGAGACCGCGGTTCGTGAGAGTTTATGTGCAAACGAAGCGTGTCTTAAAAGCCATTAGGCACATTACTATTTGTGAACATGAAGTGTGTACATAGCACTGCCTGAAACCGGGATTACATATGCAGGACCTGTGCGTATTTCTCCCATGTGGCTCACCTTGACATATTTGACAAGCACATTGAAATACACTGTCTGTCCCCCGAGGACATCTTGGACTTGAACAGTGACGGCTTGGCAGGGGGTTGATTGTTCATGGCAGGGGTGCCCTTGTGAAGGGATCAGCTTGCTGAGGAAAAGTTCTGTGAAGAGCATTGGACTCCCCTGTTTCTCCCATACAGCAAAGGGCAGGCTCTCTGCACGATAATGTCGGAGAAGTATTCCATTATGCTGTGTCTGCTTTTACTGAGGTAGTTGTATCCACGAAGAGACTGCTGAATGAAACTTCCTGCCATTTGCTTAGATATTTGCAGAAACTGTTGTTAAAGGATTGAGTGGACTGTGGCTAAAATGCTAAAATTAAAACAGTCCTGTAAATTTTCTTCCCAAGGGAGAGATTACATCATGTGACCTCCTTTTTGCCCATCTCCATGGCTGCTCAACATTGGAAGAAGTAGTTGGGCTCCACATAAAGGACCTGATTCCTTCTGTGCAGATCCCTCCTCTAGGCAGAAAAATCCCAAAGGTATAGTATAAGCACCAACCACATTCTTCCATACCCTTCCCATTTGGAACATAGGTGCACACTCTTTTCCCTCCTAATGTAACAGAAGAAAACCTTTTCAGAGAGAAGCATAAGTCCCCTGAAAAAGGGTATGCTGCTTGTTTATGGAGCTGCTGTCTGAGTATTTCCTAATGAGGAATGAGAGCAAGCCCTGACCTCTCACTGCGGAATCTGTCCTGGTGAAAGATACTTTTCTCCAATCCTGTTTTTTTAAGAAACTATGCTGTCTCTGTCAGCTCCCTAAAATTCCTTTGAATTCTTTAGCCGGTTTCAGCCATGTCTGTCTCAGGAGTGAAAGTCTAAGGAATACCCAGATCTTGCAAATACCATGAAACCGGGCAGCTAGATAGTTGAAAGAGGCCTTATTAATGCCTCATTTGGTGAAAAGCAGCAGCATGGACTTTCCTGGTTTTCATCATCAGGATATTCATACAGGAGTTCAACATTGGATTCCAAATCCTTAGAAAACTAGACTTTGGTCATTTTGGTACTCACAGGATTGGTTGATTTTTCTTTTCCTGCTCCTTTTTCCTGAGAACATTCCTGTGTAATTTTGTATGAATACTGAAATAAAACCAAAACATTTGGTTAGTTAGAGGTTTTCTGTTTGGTTTTCTTTTTCTTTTTTTTTTTTTTTGCTTTAATTTAGGACCTCAGGATCCAGCGAGCTGTAGGCCAATCCAGAGAGGGTAACATGTTTCCTCTCAGTTTAAAGCTGCAAGTAAGCCTTCTGGAGGAGGACCAAGCGGCAGTGCAGAAAGATGGTGTTCTGCAGACAGAAAAAGAAGGCTCTTTTGCAAGCTATCATTACTCTGCTACAGTCGTGGTTTTCTCCACCATCAGTGGTCTTATTACTGTCCAGTCAGATGGAACCATCTGTGGCATCAAGGATAGTTTTGCTTTAATGCTCTTTGGCTATGAGAAGAAAGAACTGTTGGGAAAGGTAAGATAGGACTTTTAATCTCTCCCAAAAGATTGCTATGTCTGGCAGCATATCCACTGGAATTGTAAAGTTGTCTTTTACACTCATTTTTGTCTGTCACAAAACCTCGACATTCCATGTGTTCCACAAGTGAGTTGTAGGATGATACGCAAATTCCCTTGTTGTAATTGCTAAGTCTTGCAGTGCTGAGGAGCTAGTATGGATTTTCATGTATATGTTCTCCATCAGTCATGTGGATCACTTTTGCCTGGCTATTCATGAGAATCAGGTCCACAAACATGGATTGTTAGCATTTGCCCACAGCCTCTGAGAGTCAGCTTAGCTTTATGAGGTTCATTCTGTGTTTTAGAACATTACATTCCTGATCCCTGGTTTCTATAACAACATGGAGAGAAGCCGTGACTGTTCTTTGCCATCACCTCCTCTTTACAACTCCACGGGGACAGAGAGTGAGTGCATTTTTGAAGATGTTACTGCCTGTCATACAACTGGCTCTGGCAGCTGTAACAAAGGTAAAATGAATAGAGACGAGAGATTTGCCTATGAACATGGGAATGTGCTTTGTAAAAGCAATGTACCTCCATGCAGTTTTTAAATTGGATTTCCACTATAACCTAAGGTAAACAGAATTGTTCACCTAAGGTTGTGCTTCTCTCTTTGTTGCTAAGAAGATGAAACTGAATATCCAAGTTGGAAATTGCACTGTTAATAGAAAATGCTTTGTACTTAATAAGCACTTCCCTTTCCCTCCCTCCCTCCCTTGTTAGGATCTCTGCGTATTTTAAGATGTGTAAAGTATAGCTTTTGTGACAGTATTGCAGCAGAGCTGTAGATACTTAGGACTAATATTTTAAGGGAAAATTCTAATATTTTTCTGAATTGGCTTATGTTGCTGGCTAATATTCAATGTTATGTTGCTGTGGTGTTTCAGTTAGGAGGCATCACATGTTCCGTTGATGCAGTTCTCTGCATTTACACAGAATTTATCAAAATTGTATTTCTCTGACCACAACAGGAATAAACAGAAGCAAGGAAGCCTCATGTCTCCAAATCTGTCTTTCCAGCTAGCTCTGCCCGAAACAGAGAACACAAGCGAGTGCATACTTTCATCCATATCGCAAGAGATCTTTTATGCTGGTTTTGTCTCCTTCATTTTGGTTTTTTTTTCCTGTTTTCTTTTTTCTTTGCTTAGAAATGCACATCTGCATTGAAACCAATGAACACTATGGGAACAAAGAAGAGTTAGTAGACAGTGTGCGATTTCTTAATTAATTCTTTGATGAAGTGATGCCTCTAATCTAGGAATAATTCAGTTCTTCAGTGAAGAAGCATTGTTGGCACTCAGCCTTTGCTAAATGGAAGAATTGTTCTACATTCAAATCTAGATTTGTTCACTCATTAACAATACTTATTTTACTTCATCCTACAAACTCATGTTTTTCTCTTTTTCTGTTGTCACTGAGGAAGGAAAGAAGTTCTTGTCTTATTCTTTCTCTTAAACATGTTTAGTCTATATACTTTTTTATCTTGCAATTTCAGTGAGTTATTTAAATGCAGTCTAAACCATTTCATTTTAAGTGTTTGGAATGGAGAGTGCATGTGTGTTTTGGGCTTTTTTTTGCTGCTGCTATTTGTATGATCACTTTATTTCCAGTTTCTGTATGGTCTTTGGCCTTTTTTTGGGTCTCTGAACTTCAATCCAAGTAGCTAACCCAGGAGGCAAATACCTGTCCAAGAGCTTTGATAGGAAGGCAAATTTCAGCAGCCCTGAAACATTTAGATTCCTGCATGTGATGACTTCTTAGGCCAAAGTAGAGTGGAGTGCTCATATTTGGACCACTTTGCCTTAATCAAGTCTTTTATACTTAATTCCTTAGGGGCGAGACAGACCAAGACAGTTCCAAGATTGTTTTTAATCACTGTAGTTTCTGAAGCCTAAACATAAAAGGTTAAGTTGGTATGGTTTTGTTTCTTGTTTGGTACAGACAGCAGCTTCTTGGCTGCATCTTTAGGAAGCCTTCTGTCAAGAGATGAAGAGCAGAAATTGGAAAGAAGGCACAAAGATGACAAATTAATACATGATGAGGCTAAACAAAAGAATGGGACCAGTTTATTTTCTACTCCCTCACCTCCTGAAGTGGCATCTACACCCTCTAATAGGTAGGCATTTCTTGGACTGCATATTCACATTAAAAAATGAAGAGCCATTGGTGGCAATCACCAGCAAAAACTGTTTCTTCACCTCTGTGATGTCTGTGGGATAACAAGAGCCTTCTGCACTTTGCTGTCTTTAGAATCTGAGCGCTATTTGCAAGACAGGTTGAGTTTTGCCTACCTTAGATTTTTGTTTAGATTTGTACAACCTACAATTGTAAAGTTACAGGAATTCCATCTCTAAAGAGGACCAAATGCTTCACCCAGGCTAGGGAAGGTAATTAGGCTCTATCTTTGCTAGATCAGAAACAGTGGATGTTTATCTCCTTCCATGGTATCCACCAGCTGGATATGAATGAATGAAATTATTGAATGAATTCTAAATGTTATTCCTTCTGGTGCTCGGTGTAACTGCCAGGTCATCCGTTAAAACAGGGTACTGTGTTACTTAAGTCCAGCCATTTTTATTGTACCTTTCCAGGTCTTTTTCCTGTTACAAGGTTAGAAATTCTGCACAAGTACCTATATGATGCACACGGTTTATCTTAAGTCAAATTTTAAGCCTTCCGCATTAACAATTCTAGCCCATAGAAAATATTTACTGCCCTTTTTAATATATAGACTGTTACAGCACAGTTCTTGCTGCTTTTTAAAGAGACTGATAGTCTCATTGTTTCCTTGTGCTCTCCTGGGTTTGTCCCTCATATCATACTTGGATTGTAAGTCCTCTGCTGCATAGATTGTTTTTCTACTCTGCATTTTTACTAATAGAAAAGTTTGTAAAATACATTGTGCTATGGGCTTCAGTGAACCATGGTTAAATTGATGGGTGGGGACATCCATCTGTTCTCAGGACTGGAAGTATCCTGCCATGTGTATTGCCTTTTTGTTGTGGTAAATGACCTATGATACATACTTAGAAATCAAGCTAGAAAGGAAGTAATACATAGCGAGTCTACCTGCTCTTCTTTGGTCAAGATGGAATTTGTTAGGATTTTGGATGCCTGTGCCAACAGCTTTCTGCCTTCTTCTTTTTAAACTTAAAACAATCAGTGCAGGTTTTAAATAGTGACCATCTATCCTGGTTTCGGCTGGGATAGAGTTAATTTTCTTCCTAGTAGCTGGAACAGTGCTGTGTTTTGGATTTAGCATGAGAATAATGTGGTAACACACCGATGTTTTAGTTGTTGTTAAGCAGTGTTTATACTAAGTCAAGGACTTTTCAGCTTCCCATACTCTGCCAGTGAGGAGGTGCACAAGA